GAGGAGAGCTGGGCAGGTGGGCAGATCCGAGGTTTCGATGGAGCACTTTGGGACTCTGTGAAGGCTTGCTGGTTGTCTGTGTGTGCTCTGAGCAGGCAGGCTGCAAGCCCCCGGACCAGCCAGGTCCTCAACGTTGGCATTAGCTCCCCAGCTGCACCTACACACACAAACATGAAGCCCACCCCAGTGACCACTCAGCCCACGGCTTCAGCCAGACTCCCTGATGGGTCCCAACCTTGACCACCTGCCTGTGAGGATCTGATTCCAACCTGTTTTCCAGCCCTCAGGAAACAGGAAAGCATGTGTGTTCTCATTATGTCTGTGAAGGTGCTTCTCCCATATCTTTTCCTACCCAACAAGGAGAGGCATTCAGCAGGGAGAAATTCTTCCCCAGGGAGGGACTGGGGTTTGTCCCGGACAGTACCCTCTGGGATGATAAGAAGTGGAGCCCAGGGAGTCCCCAAGAGCACCAGGGAAGCGGGACCAGGAGGCTGGAGTGCTGTTGGCGAGAAGAAAATCGAGTGAGCAGGTGGGAACACACAAACAGAGGAAACCTGCAATGAAAAGACTCGACAGGACGGACCGGAGCGTGGGGACGAGACCAGGAAATAACTCCTTAGGATCTAAGCCATCAAAGCGCTACACAAAGAAGAAGTGGGGCAGGGCCAGTCATGCCTACGTGGTGCTCTAACCACCATTTCCTGGCTGGGAAAAGGTGCCTCTGTGTCAGCAGGAAACAGTCACTGGACAGGTGTGACTAATAGGAAGGGAAGCATGCTTTGTAAACTGTAAAATTCTATACACGTGTTTGTTCGCTGGTATTCTCCTCCAGAGCGTTTACCTTGGAAATTGTAACAAGTGGCCAGGCAGGTGAGGCACCGCAGCGAAGAAACAGGGAAGTCAGTGCGGAATTAGAAAGAACTGTTGACTGGGGCACCTGGGTGGCTCAGTCGTTGAGCGTCTGCCTTCGGCACAGGTCATGGTCCCAGGGTCCTGGGATCGAGCCCCGCATCGGGCTCCCTGCTCCGCGGGAAGCCTGCTTCTCCCTCTCCCACTCCCCCTGCTTGTGTTCCCTCTCTCGCTGTGTCTCTCTCTGTCAAATAAATAAATAAAATCTTTAAAAAAAAAAAAAAAAGAAAGAAAGAAAGAACTGTTGACTGGGGTTGGGCCGGGGCGGGGGAGAAATGGTGGACATTGAGTCCTGGGACAAAATTCAGCTCAACCCCCCATAACTTTTCTTTTTTGCGGTGGAGGAGAGGCAGAGGGAGAGAGAGAATCTCAAGCAGGCCCCATACCCAGTGTGGAGCCCGACACGGGGCTTGATCTCACGTCCCCTGAGCGGAAATCCAGAGTCAGACGCCTAACCCACTGAGCCATCCAGGCGCCCTTCAACTCCCCATAACTTTTCAGAACAGCCTGGGAGGGCATGAGCTGCCTCAGGTCTCATCCAGATCCCTAAGAGTCCTTGCCCACTTCTTCATGAAGGTCCCAGGCGAGTGAGCAAGTGGGGAGTACCTGTTTCATTCACTCTTTCATCCATTCAGCCAGTGTTTATTCAACACCTATTATGTGCCAGGTCCTGTAATAAAAGGTGTGATTACAACTGTGGTAAATGCTATAAAGGAGATGTACACGGTGCCATCAGGGCTAAAAGCAGGATATACAAATATGAGATATAGAATCAGTTATATAAGGGCCTATACTTAGGACAACAGAACTAATCTGAAGTGTTGATAATTAAGCTGAGGTCCAAAGGATGAGTGGATATTAATTAGGCAAAGAGAGGAGTTAAGAGTGACTCAGGCGGGCGCCTGGGTGGCTCAGTTGGTTAAGCGACTGCCTTTGGCTCAGGTCATGATCCTGGAGTCCCAGGATCGAGTCCCGCATCGGGCTCCCTGCTCGGCGGGGAGTCTGCTTCTCCCTCTGACCCTCCTCCCTCTCATGCTCTCTGTCTCTCATTCTCTCTCTCGCAAATAAATAAAAAAAAAAAGAGTGACGCAGGCATAAGGAATGGTCTGGTCTGTGCTAAGGCCCCCGTGGGACAGAGAATGGCATTAGCTTTTGTTGTATAACAAGTCACTCCAAAACATCGTGGCTTGAAACAACAACCACTTTTTTTTTTTTTAACCCACCATCTAGTGGGTCAGAAATCTGGGTTGAATTCAGCCAGGCAGTTCCAACAATTCAGGTCATATTGTGGCTGATCTTGGCTAGGACTCACTTGTGCGTCTGAGTCAGTTGCCAAGTCAGGGAAGAACTGACTGACCTTGCCTGGGGAGCTTCAGTTCTTCACTTTACGGTCTGCATTCCCCAGCAAGCTATGCTGGGCTTCCTTCACATGCAGCGAAAGGCTCCCACCAGGCAAGCCAAAAAGGACAGCCTCCAGAGGTCCATTTCGTGTCTCCATACCCACCACACTTGCTGTTGTCACATTGGCCAAAGCAAGGCACAGGGCTAAGCCCAGAGTCGGGTGTGAACAAATTAGGGGCTATAACCGTAACAATCTACCTCAGTGTGTTCGAGGAATTGAAAGAAAGGGGAAGACGAGAGAGTGCAGGGGGAAGACGAGAGAGTGCAGAATGAAGAAGAGCCTGGTGTGGGTGAAGCTGGGAGTGGGGGAGCCAGACACGCAGGACCTCCGAAAGGACAGGAGTCTTGGAGTCTAGGAGTTTGGTCCTGGAAGCAGACAAACCCTCTGTCATGTGTAGCTGATCATCATAAATAAATCCCTTGAAGATGGAACTGCCCTGGGTGAACTAGTAAAATGGACTTTCCAAGCTTGAGAAGCTGGGAACAGGATGTGGAACACGGTCTACCCCCCGCTTGCTGCCTGCAGCCCCCACTGCTGTAAATGCCTCATACCTTTTCACCTCCATGCCTCGGCACCTGCTCCCCACTCAGCAGTAAACAGTCTTCCCACACCCCGTGTAAGGCCAGAGCCCGCCTCTCCAAGACTGGCTTCAGCTAGCACCACCTCAAAGCAGCCCTCCCTGACTTCTCTAAGCCCCCAAGACCAAAGATACATCAAATGACACCGGGAGGCCTAGGGGAAAAGCCTGTGACTTATTACAGTGGCCTTGTGGTTTCTAGGATCAAGTTTGTATGGGGCCCAGTCCTGCCTGCGTGGCTCACACCTGGGGGCACCGTGCTTCACCAATGCTGTAACCATCTTTTTATCTGTTTGCCTCCCACGAGACAGTCTTTCTTGAAAGAGTATCCATAACCCCAGGGCCTGTACACAGATGAGTCAGAAATACTTGAATGAGTGATCCGATCCTTCAATGGGACTTGCCTCTAAAGCCCCAGTCAATGTTATTAACGCCATCTGTCATGGCAGTTGAGGGGCCAGCTCCAGTGTCTCCCAGTTCCACCGCGAAGCCACCCACCCAAGGGAGAGGAGCCTCCCAGCTCTAGGATAGTTCGAGGCAGGGCAGTGGGCAAGTAAAGAGAAGGGACCTCCCTGGGAGACAAGTGCCACAGCACCATTTACTGTAACAGGGGAAGAACCGACCTGCCGTGACATCCATTGGAGGCCTTCCCCGGGTGCTAGAACAGCTAGCCAAGGGCACTGAGGGAGCGATCACCTGAGCACTGATGCCAGGAAGCCAATTTATAGGTTGGCTCCCTCACCACAGGCTGGAGAAGCAGAGACCGTGAACCAGGGGCTGAGAGCACCAGGCCCCGCCCGCCAGTCCTGACCGACTTTTCCAAACTCTTCTGGAAGCACGCAGGTGTAACTCACCCTGACTCCCTTTTGCAGAGAGGAAATCTGAAGCCCGGGGAGATAAGCCTTTGACTCATGGGCCCCTTCAGAAGTCATGGCCACCCAGATAGCGGACTACCTTTCCCAGCCTCCCTTGGGGTTACATGCGGCCATTGGCTAGAGCCAATGAGACGTGAGTGGAAGTGACCTCTGTAACTTTGGGGGTTTGCTCACAAATGGCAGAGCTGTGCCCTCCCTTCCTTGTTCTTCCCCTTCCCATTGCCTAGTGAGCCATCTTGGACAACACAGGCAAGAGAAACACCTCAGGATAATGGAGCAGCAACAAGATGGAAAGAGCCCGGGCCCCTCATATCTGGGTACACAATCCCGGGGCCACCGTATCGGCCCTGACCGGCTTAAGCCAGCACTCGCTGTTATGTTTGCAGGAAACAACATAGCCTGTCTTGACGAAGCTCCTTTTACCCCAGCTACCTGCTATGGCTGCTAAATCCATATCCTCCTGACTCAAAGAATATAGCCCCGGAGTGAGTTTCCTCAGGAAGCCCAGGACCACTGGGACTGCTTGATCCCGGGGGCTCTCATTGTCCCAGGACAACAGAGCTGTGACCTCCACCCCAGGGACCAGCTGTTTTCTTGAAACAGTGGGGGAAGTTGCTTGCTTGGAGGAAGCTGCTAGACTGCCAAGGATGGGAAGGGAAACAGCACAGCTGGGATCCCCCAGGGTAGATACCAGCGCACCTGCACTATTGGGTACAATGCTGAAATTCTTCCGGGCCAGCTGATCAGCAGCCACTGCCCTGAGCCACCCCACCCGGGGAATGGCCCCCCTCCCGAGCCAGCCAGGCCCCAGACCCAGCAGTTAAAGGGGCAACACCTGGCACAGGAAGGGGTCACCAGGACTTCATCCCGACCTTCATCCCAAGCCACACTGCGTGTTAAATATTTTGAACATCACCCCTGGCTATAAGGTGCCTCATCTCCACCAACTGAGTGCAAATGAACCACTGAACTCAGTGTTGACAGTGATAGGGTGACATGAGTTCTAAAAGCTAGAGACTGGCCACTGAATCACCACCTCCACCTCCTTCTCTCTTGTCCCCCAAACCAGAAACGCTTGGCTCCACCCAGGCCTGCCCTCGGCCCTTCAGAATGTCCTACCATCACGCCCAGATATTATTGCACTCTTTTATTTACAGAAAACACAGATAAAGCATTTCAATGTTCATTTAGCGAACTGATCCACTCTTTTTTTTTTTTTTCTTTTTGGCACAAAGAAATATCACAGATGGACCCCAAGATCAATCAGAAACCCTTAAGATTTATCAGCCATCACTGGTCCAGGGGCAGCCACAAGACTCAGACGGACAGACAGACAGCATCGCCACAGACTGGAAAAAAATAAACAAGGTCCACGTTCACCTCACAGTAAAAACCTGCTCGCCGGCAGGCAAGGGCAGGCCAGGGTGGGCGTGGGAGGGGTAGAGTGGGGGGCAGGTTCTCTGCTCCAAGGGGGGCAGTGGGCATTGGGGGCAGGAAGCAGGATGGGGAGGGATTAGACACCATTCATAAATTAGAGAGAGGTGACCTTTTTGTTTTTATCCTCTTACCTTGTGGAAGTAAGACAGTGCAAAACTACCATACCCTGACCACTGGGCCACTGGAAATACTGCAGAAGTTCCATGGTTTGGGGGTACCTCTCCTCGTGGGCGCCCATGTGTGTGCATGTGTGCGTATGTGAATGTGTGAGTGTGGTGCTTGTAAACATTGTCACCATCCACGCAGAGACCCAACAGCCGTGTGTCTGAATGGGATGAGCTGGGGGCTCTACCCCGCTTCATGCCCCCTCCGCCCCAGTGATTCCTGTCCAAGACATAGTGCAAATTTCAGGGACAAAAAGAGGCAGAAGGAAGGGGGGGCGGGGCCTGTTGGGGGTCGGGGGGCAGGAAGGACACAAAGACCGGGCGGGAGAGGGAGGGGGAAATAAGGCAACAGTTAAAAACGGTCCATTTTATCAAAACTGACACCATGTGCCCCTCACCCCCGCCCACGGAGCCCTCGTCACGAGAAAGGGCGGAAGTCCCGCTCCTCCACCAGACTGATGGAGGGGTTCTTGAGCTCCTCCTCCGACGTGGCCATCTTGTAGCCCAGCTGCGCCAGCACCCGCTGGCAAGTGTTCTGGGCGAAGGCCACAATGTCGTAGGAGAGGCGGAAGCGCCACTTCTCGGCCGTGGCCGCCGAGTTTCGCACGGTGCCGTATTTGTGCTTGCCCAAGGTGGGGTCACCCCGCGTGTTGTTCTGGATCCAGCGGGCCACATGGCTGTCCAGGGGGATCCCCAGGAAACCGTAGATCTCCTCGGTCTTCTTCATGGGGTTCCTGGCCAGGTCCTCGTAGCGCACCAACATGTACTTGCCCTTGAGCCACGGGGGCCGCATGAGGCCGGTGGACACGGAGTTGGAGAAGTCCTCGCACACCGTGGTCAGCTGCGTCACATCTAGGTTGTAGGGCTTCCTCCCGGTGCCATACCAGAGGCGCCACAGGCGGTAGGTGTCGCGGAACGTCTCGCTGCGGGAGGCCAGGATGCCGCGCGGGTCTCGGACCAGCTGGATGACCTTGAGGTTTAACCGGGGGTCTTCAACCAGGGCCCGCAGGTCGTTAACCTCGGGCACCCGCACCGTCTTGATGGCCACGTGGCTGCGCTCACGACAGGCCTCAGCGGCCACCGTCAAGTTCAACAGGCCGCACTTGCGCACGCAGTCCCCCTCCTCCAGCACCAGTTCCGGGGAGCCCGGGGGGTCGCACACGGGGCGGGAGCACAGCACCCTGCTGGCCCCGCGGCGGAAGATCCTGTCGGTGGTGTGGTTGACGGGCGGCGGCTTGATGTAGTTCTCCAAGAAGTAGAGGTCACAGTCATAGAGGCTCCTCAGGAGGTCGCGGCTGGCGCCCAGCATGACCCGCCGGTCCGCGGGGCTCTTGCCCTGGGTAAAGCGGGGGATGAGCGTGTTCTGGACGTGATAGAGGGGCTCGAACAGGTAGAAGACGTCCAGGTGCTGGTTGAAGAGCTGGCCCACGAAGGAGGAGCCGCTGCGCGTGGTGGCCAGGATGAGGATGTGGGTCTTGCGCGAGAGGTTGTAGGCGAAGGTGGGGCCCTCCTCGCAAAGCCGCTCGGCCAGCCCCGCCTCCGCCAGCCCCGGGCAGGTGTGGAAGGACTTGGCGGTGAAGGTGCGAATGGCGGTGTACTGTATGGCGATGGAGGCCAGGGCAAGGAGGAGGACGGCCTTCCAGGAACATTGCATGGCTAGGCACCTTCATGGGGCTGCTTCTCCACCATGCGAGGTCTGCGGGCAAAGGTGGGCGGCATTCAGGGAGCAGCCTGCCGCGAGATGCATCACCGTGCCAGGGGCCCCAGCCTGCTCCCTTGGACGGGCTGGTCTCCAGGGGGTCCCCAGACCTACCGGATTCCCTGCCCGATGCTCATACATGCGCCTAAGGACTGAGCAGCTTCTAAGCTAGACTTTACATTCTCTGGGGACTCCTGGGAGCTTCTGGGACCGAACAAATTGACTCCCCACATGCAGAGTTTAACGAATGCTGCAGGGGACTTCCATCATGAACCTGGAGTTCCTTAGTGGGGCCCCACTGTGCAAGAAGCTAACTTCCCCAGCTCACACACTCAGGGGCCCAGCAGTTTCTGCCTCGAGCCATTCTCCTGCCACGGCCTGTCACCCCTGCCAGCACCTCTGGGGCCCACCTGCATCTTCCACCCCCACGAGCAGGCACCAGCTTCCCCACTGGGCATCTTTCCTCCATCCCCTGCCCACCCCAGGAGGAAAAAGAGCTCCTGTCAGATGCACACCATGAGGATCCGTGCACTGGGCCAGGAGAGGGGGACAACTTGTCAAGCCCACCACACCAACTTAGGGGTGCAGGTGACCAGTTACCCAGATGAGGACTTCTGGGACCCCCACGGTCAACGAGAGTCAACTGGCCCAGAGCAGAGAAAGGTCCAGGGGCTGCTGAAAAGCATCCTTTCCCAGGCCCCAAGCACCCTCCAGGTTTGCTCCTGGCCACTGGGGCAAGGGGCAGGTGGGGGGCAGATGACCCCCACTGACAACAGAGTGAACTGGCTCCTGGGGGGGTGGAGGGGCCCACCCCAGCTAGTCCTCAAGGGCCTCCACCGTTCAGCTCTCAGCTCTCTGCCCACAGAGCAGAATCTGCCACATATGACCCAGCAATGGCCCCAGAGAACCAGGCAGGATGGAGAGAAGATGAGGGGGTGCAGCAGAAGGGGCATCTCAAGGAATGGAGAAAGCAAAGGTGGGGGCAGGGCAGGGGGGCAGGGGCAGGAGAGCAGGGAAGGTCCAGAGCAAGGTGCCAGCCTGAGCATCTGGAAGTCGCCCCCAAGAGAGGCTGGCTCAGCTCCCGGGCCCTGGCGGAGGGCTGGGGCTGCTCCCAGAGTGAAGGCAGGAAGGGCTCCACCACTCACCAAAGAGGGGCTGCTCCGAGCTGGGGAGTCCGCAGCTGCCAGGTCTCCTGGCCTAGCTGGCAGTCCCAGCCTGTGCAGAGGCCCTGTGAGCAATAGACTGTAGAGAGAGAGGGAGGGGAAGCGTTCTGAGGGGGGGAGGTCGGTGTGTCAACATCGCCCTTCCCACCCCTTCCCTCCTACGTCCTGTGTCCTCACAGACTGCCCCCCCAGGGCCGGCTGACAAGGGCCCTGGTTGCTCTCCCAGATCTATCACTGATTCAGGGCTCCAGCTATCCCAGGGCCACCTTTTATCCCCTGGGATCTAGCCCCCTGACTCCTGAGCCCTCCACCCACCTCCCCCACCCCCTACCCATCCCTTCCTGGCAAGTCCGAGTCCCTCACACCAGGACCCAGTGGGCAGGGAGCTGGCAAGCCTGCACCCCCAGCTGACCAAGAGTTGGTGCCCCACATAGGCAACCACCCCGGGGAGGACCCCGCACACCCACCATCCAAGGGCGTTGCAAAGAAACCTACTGGCCACAAATACCTTGAGGCCTCCCTAGCTCGGTTCAGCTCTCGTGACCAGACTGACCCAACCAGACAGTGCTCGGCACCCAACCGTGGAACGGTGTCAGTCAAAGTTATTCCAGAAAACTAGGCCAGAGCACAGCCCCGACTGGCCCTGCATTTCAAATCAACAGAGCAGCCTGACCCTTCAAAATTTGACTTTCTCAGTGACTCCCCAAGAGGGGTTCGGTGGAAGTCAACAAGGCAGAGGGGCTCACCCCAGACCTCCAGGTGGAAATGACAGCTCCGTCTAGATAGCCCAGACACCGAGGCCCGCTCGGAAGGGACAGCTGGGGCAGGAGGCTCTTCTTCCAACCACACCAGAGAGGAGAACGGCTACCTAAAACTCAAAGCAAAAGTGGACCAGGGAGCATTCCTGACTTCGATGCTGTCCACGGATTCTAAGTTAAAACACCAAGACCGTAGCATTTTTTCGGTTAGCATCCGTCGAGTACTTCCTAAGCCCTTTACCTGCATTCGCTCATTTATTCCTCACAGGAGCTTCATGTGGAAGCCAGGATTAGCTCCATTTCACAGGCGAGGAAGCTGAGGCACAGAGAGTGGGGTGACCTGCCTGAGCTCACATGCTTGGTTTAACGCACATCTCACAGGTTCCCCAGAGCCCACGCTCTTTCCCTCTGAGGAGATTTGACCTTGTTCCTCCAGCTTACATGCACTTGGCCTTCAAACATGCATTCGATTAATGTCCCGGGCCTGTGTGTAAATTGGCAAGAGAGAGACCAGGTATTACAAGGGTACAGACGATCTGTAGTGTAACACCTCCAGATCCTTCCCTTTGCTGTCTGGCCTTGTTGATCAAGGTCTTGTTGATCAAGGCTCATGGCTGAGGGGATAAACTTGTGCTTTGTGAATATTCTTCCCACATCCCGCTATTTGGCGTGACTCCTTTGTGGTTTGTGGATCCTCACTTCCCAAACCCGCTGTGCTGCCTGGCTCAGCCAACTCCGAACACCACGCTATTCCTTACAGCCTCCTCTGGGAGGTCAGGGTTCTCACTCCCATTTTTTAGATGGAGAAATTGAGGCTCACAGACTAAGCAAATGTGCAGAAGCAAATAAGGAATAGCAGAGACTCGAATCCCTCCGTGTCAGATTCTTAGGCCAGTGTTCTGGCCCCTTTACCATCAGCTTAGCGAAGAAGAAACAGAGCTGAAGCAGTCTGGTTGCCTCTGGAAGGGGCGCAGAGCTTGAGCTGAGATGACAGTGAGCCAGCTGAGGCTCTGGATCCTAGGAGTCCTATTTTAAGTCTGAAACTCCACTCAGTACCTACAGGGAAGAGTACCATGTCACCAGGTGGCAGTAAATATGGAAAGGACACAGTCTAGACTCTTGGGAACCTCAGAGAAAACCAGAGCCCTGACCACACCCCTCATCCCACCCCTACCTCACCCCAGGGCCACAGAGAATGCTGACTTCATCAAAAGGGTTCGATGAGGTGACCAGAGAAAACTGCCTGTCTGCATTAAATTAGATTCTCCTGCAAAATGCAGGCCCACCCTGCCTAAGTGCCCCAAAACAAATGCCTCTAAAGACAGGTAGGGAATACCATTAATAATAGTGTAGGAATTATTTTTAAGTTATTTAAGTAAGGGTCTACAGTTGCAACGCCCCAGTGCACATCATTAGGATGGACTCTCTTTGTACTTACTCATAAAGATCTGTCAGATATCGAGCATGATCCAGGCACCGTTCTAGGAATTATGGGGGCGGGGGGAACATGAAGGAAGCAAGCACTTACTGGGCATTCATGATGTTTATCCCAGGGGGGATCACAGATTAGGGTACAAGGTGGAGTGAAAAACACCTCTCGCCCTCACACTAACCCTGTGTGGTTGATGTTGTCATATCCCCATTTTACAGACAAGGAAGCTGAGGCTCTGCAAGGTTAGATGAATTTCCCCAGCTCACACTCCTAGTAAGGGGTACAGCCAGGATTCCAGCCCAGGCAGTGTGCTCTGGAGGCCATGAATCCTCCTCCTTGACCCACTACATTTAATCCCCTTTGGTCTCCACTGAGACGGGAAACAGAAGGCTGAAAGAGATTTCACTTAATTCAAAGATTCTCGTACCAAAAGGAGAATTCACCCATCCAGGGGAGCATTTAAGTTTCTCTCCCTACCACCTCTCTCCACCCCAGCCCAGAGAAACTTTTAAGGCCAGGATTCCAAACTGCTGCCTTGGCTAATAAATCAGGAGTAACTGAAGAATCTCGATGGTATAAATCCCTAAGAAAGTGGGACTCGGGTTCACAAGGTATAGTCTGAGCATCCACGAGGGGACTGTGTCCAAAGGCCCAGCCACAGGCCATCCCCCTGCCTCCCAGGAGGGCAAAGCGAGGGCATGGGAACAGGAAGACGAAGAAAGTCAGACCCTCCTAGAAATGCCGCCCCCCTCTCCTGCCAGCCTGGCAGAGCTGGGCTCAGGACTGGCCAAGCTTCCTTGGTATGCTGGAGGCATCTGCCCTGGAAACCAGAGGCCCCAGGGCCAGGTCCCAATGTTCCCAGGGGAGCTCTGGCCACTGCAAGGAACTCTTCAATGCCCTTGTCCTCCAAGCCAACCTGCAAGCCCCACGGCCCCTCCCTGGGCTTTGAGCAGCCTTTGGCATGACCTTCCTCCATCTCTGGGTAGTCAACATCCAGACAAGCCTTAGACAGAGGAGCCCAGAATCTGTAACTTGCGTTGGAAGGCCGGGGAGTTGGTGAACTCCCAGCAGAAAGCTCAGATTTCAGTCTCAGCCACGTTCAGATTAGGGCACAGGGTGGGAGTGAAAAACACCTCCCCACTGGAGAACTGGAATTCAGACCTCAGGGCTCAAGCCATGGAACCACACCCACCCGGATATCACTTAGCAGGTGTGTGGACCTGGATTCACTAGCGGTCTCTGAGCCTCAGTTTCCCGACCCATACAATGGGTATAACCATAGTAGCGGTTGCAAGAATTTAAAGAATTTGAGGCATTTAGTCAATGCCAGGCATAGAATACGACACAGCCTCCTGCTTGGGACATGGGCTCTGGCAAAAGCCCCACTGATGGCCAGGTTTCTGAATCTCTCCGGGCCTCTGTTTTCTCACCTGAAAAATGGGGATCATTTTAACATTGTGAGGACTCACATTTAACATTGTGAGGACTAATTAACACAGTGCCCGGCATAAAGCACTCGATAAATGTACGCAACTGTTATCATCATTAAATGTCTTGTCCGCTTTGTGTCTCGCGTAAGTACCTGAGAACAGATCTCACCGACTCTGACAGTGAGACAGACCCTCCTCCTGGCTGCGGTGCCCAGACCTCCGCCTGGCAGGCTTCTGCTCACTGCCCCTTCTTCCTTCCGCTCCTCTCCCAGCCTGAGAACTTTCTGCAGCTGAGCCACCGCAGCGGCTTGCCTGCTGCCCTCTAGTGGCCACATCCTGCAGTACAGCCTCTTAGCCCTGCGTTCTTGGCTGGGCTCGGAATTCGGGGCCTCTAGCTGTGGCCTCGTGTGAGGATTCAGCCAGCGGAGGTGATGTTGCAGGATGCCTTGAGGTGTGGTGATGACACCCCCACCCGAGCTGTGGCCTCTGCTCTGTGCACCCTCTCTTCTTCACCCACACGCCAAGAGGCAAGCAGCAACACGCAGCCTCACCTCATCCAGAAGGCCCGTCCTCCCAGTCTCATTCCTCATCCCAGAGGAAGGAACACTGAACTTAATATCACAGGCAGGAACGGCCTCTGCTTTCTCTGGCTGGGTGACCTTGGACTCATCCCCTGACCCCTCTGTGCCTCGATATTTCCATAGATCCAGCTACTCTAAGGGCCTCCAAGCTCTGACCACTGGGGTTCTCTGGTCCCAGGAAGACACCATGCTCCATTTTCAGAGTCAGGACCCCCCTCACTGCTGGCAGGGGGATGCTCCTTTGGGAGCGGGAAAGCCCCAGTCATCCTCCAACAAGATAGCTGGGCTGGCAGCTGGGCCCCATCCCCTCAGCCCAGTCCACGGCAGCCCCCATGGGGCCCAAGAGCCAAGGGGCTCCGCCCTCTGCTGAGTTAGCCTCCCCCCCCAGCCTCAGCTTCCACTCTATAAAACCCCATCCAACCCAGAGCTGTGGCTTTGGCCTTTTCTGGGCCACAGGCCCCTTGGAAAGACATGGTCCCTCTTTCCAGAAAGATTCATTTGTATCTACAACTTTACACACAATCAGAAGGCTCCTGGACCCCCTAAAGCCCACCCATGGGCACCTCAGAGGCTTCAACCCCTTTACGAGCAGTATTCTCCCCTGCCCTAGGATTTTCTTTTCAACTGTCCGTTCCAGGGAAGCCTCTACAGATTTGTATACACTGAATGCAGAGCCATCGCCCAAGATAAAAAAGCTAGAGCCAGAAAACACATGTGCAAGGGTAGGTTGCTACTTCTTGTTTTTAAAAGGGGGATGCATGTGGGGGGGAGTATTTATATACATGCATATACAACCACTGATCTGGTAACCCCAGCTGCCCCGGTGGGAGGGGCGAGGAGACAGCGGTGGGAGGAAGGCAGCTCACACTGAGCCTCTCAGTTCCATTTGAGTTTATTAACTTTCTGGGAGAGAGCAAAGCCACCCCATGCAAGACCTGGAGGGGTGGGGCACTGAAATCACACTGGCAACTCACTGTGCCTCCTAATCTGCCCCCCAGGGCACTGCCAGCTGGCTCTCCCCTCCCCCACTTCCAAGGCACCAGGGTCAAAGTCACTACCTTTCGGCCACAACTGGGCTCTGTCTGCTCAGGCAGGCGGCGAAGGACAGCAGTCAGTGGGTGCTGCCGAGAAAGACAGGGCAGGAGCTGAAAAAGAGGGAGACCTCCCAGGGGACGTGGAGCTTCGGAGAGGAACGGAAGCCTGAGTTGGGGAAATGACTCCCCTCCCCACCTTTTCTTCCTAAAAACAGCTTGTGGAACTCTGAGGAGATAGGGAGAGCAAAGAATAAAGATCCTGAACGTGAGATTTCCAACCAGCCTCAGGAGCCAGTACGGAGGGGCCCTAGGCCCCGGAGCCCCAGGAACTGGAACAAGGGGCAGGGGGAACAGGATGGGGAGGAAGGAGTTGGCAAATAGGCCTCTGGGAGAGACTGCAGAAAGGAAGTGCTTAATCCCTGGGTCTGCGGTAAGCGTAAGCGGTAGCCAATGCTGACCCACCAGAGATGTTTGTTTAGTTAAAGCTAAAACATATAAAACAGCAAGGTTTTTTTTTTCTTCCTTAAAAAAAAAAAAGTGAGGTAAGTGAAAAGGGCATGAAAGTGCAAAAGAACTAGAAGCCAGATTAGCATACAAGAGCCAAGACACTTCTGGGCTACCCAGATGGATCAGAGCTACCTGGTGGCCAACGGGAAAAGGGAAATATTTCATTTCATGTTCCATAGGACCCATGAGATGAGAATTACACCATCTGCTCAAGAGATGCCCAGCTATTCCTGGTACTGAATCCAGCAAAAGATTTCTCCCGAGGGGTCTCCTAGAGAGAACCCTGAGCACAGCCTGCCATTCTCAACAGCTCGTACCTAATAAGCCCGAGGACAAGTTTCATGGGGCTGTGTTCCAGAACATCCTTCAAGGTGAGCGGTATGCCAGCACATAATTCAGCCAGTGCAACCTTCCAGGGAAGGAGATCCCATGGGGTCCAGAATCAGCCTCTGTGGTCTGGGTCAGCCCAGGGGAGATAGGAGGTAATAGTACTTCCCTTTGGGGTGATGCCCCCACAAGTTGAAACACTGGGAGGCCTGTGGACCTTCTCCCCAGAATCTGCACCAACACAAACAGGGTGTTTGTATACAGTCTTTAGAGTCCCCGGGCCCTGTATCTACCCACGGACCCCAAAGGCAGAACCCATAGTTCCTTCAGGCACCTTGAGTGGGGCAAGTTCTCACAGTCATGGTTCCAGAAAGTGACTGACTGTCCACCAACTTTTCACCCTCAGCAGAGACACTCAGCTGCCTCTTAGGAGCTCTGGTATCTCCAGAGCAGATCCCTCTGATGTCCACACATAATGACACTGGAGACCCCCTGGGTGCCTCAAGCGTCCTTGAGAAGTTACCCACAGGTGTAACTGGGTGGTATTTGGGCATCCCAGCTGTGGGGCCGGACAGGCCTGGGTTTGAACCCCACTGCTACGGCTTGATGGCTACGAGACCCCGAGCGCGGCACGTAACTTCTGTAGACCTCAGTTGCCCTTATCTGTGAAACGGGAAAGGTAGTCACAGAACCTTCCAAATATTTGGGTTGTGAGACAGCCAAGAAACATCAAGAACCTAGCACAGTGCTGGGCACAGAGCACGTGCTCATTAAGTAAGAACCAGGAGTGTGATTTTCAAGGGCTCCTCAAGCCTACAGACCAGCTGTAATGGACTGAAAATGTTTAAGGAAGTGAAAACAGATGCCCCAGCCTCCTCCACCGAAGCTCGAACAGCCTGTGTGGTTGGAGACACTTGTTGTCGGGGTGGCAGAGACTGCCTCGTGGTCCTGCTGTGGGCCCAGCGGGTTGGCGGGGTCCTGGCCCGACCCGAGGAAAGTTTTCCCCAGCAATGGGGAGAGTGACTGACCTCCTGGCACAAGGCCCCAGTGTGCCCGGCGCCTCACAGAGGAGGAGGACGGATGAGTCAGAAGGGCCCGGTTCCCTCAGGCCGGTCCTACCACAGCCTGGCCTCTGGTAGGCGGACCCTTCTGCCCCAACATTGGGCGGAAAGGCCCCGGTTTCCTGTCCCCCACCACCACCACCCCTCCTCAGCAGCCACAGCCAGAGCCCGAATAGTACCGAGGCTCCACCCCCTGGATACCGGGGCTTCAGCCCATCCTCCCAGCTTCTGCTGGAGGGGCTGGCAGGGGGGCCATCTGTCCCCAGACGCTGGAGTCTCCAGCCTCCTCCCCAGCTAGCCCCTGGGGAGGAGGGCTGGGCATGGGAGAGGCTCACCTGAGCCTCTCACACAGGATGGAGGGGGCTGTGGGAGCCCATACCCAGAGATGACCCCGGTCCTGGCTCACCTCAAGTGGGTGCTACCCACAGGTACCACTGCCATCCTCCACAGATGAGGAGCGGTGAGGCACGGACAAATGAGGGGGTCGATCTAGGTGTGTGCAGCTGGTCTGTGGTGGGGTCCAGATTCGAGCTCAGCTCTAAGGACCCCCAAGCTCTGGCCCTAACCACAATACATAAGCTCCCAGGCCATGCCCACGAGTAAGAGCATCACCCTGCATCTGGAGACTAGGGCAGGGACAGGGTGTGCCAGGGCCAAGATGGCCACCAGGGTCCCGGGCATCCACCCTGACCCAGACCTGGGCTCACCCAACACCAGTTGACCATCTCTAAGGATCAGGTCCCCGGGGTGTCAGCCGGAGGGATGGGGGCTGCCTAAGGCCCTGCCTGCCTGATTCCCTGGCACCCCAAACAGGTCTGTGCCACCTCACCACTTCCCAGGGGGCTCTCCCTCCCCAGCTGAAGGACAAAAAGGAAGATTATCATAAGGACTGGAAGAGGTCATGGGTGTGGACACAGCTGGTGCAGTATGACACCTGACAGACAGCAGCCAAAGCACTCCGGCTAAGCAAGGAGAGGGAAGTGTATTTTCTTGGCCAGAAAGCCCAGGAACGTCCAAATCCTACGTAGCCAAGAGGATGCCAAAGAATGTCTTTATTCCCACCTGGCCTGAAATGGTCTAGAATGGGGTTTAGGGTTTGGGCTCAAGACCAGGATAAGGTCTCCCTGCTCCCTAAGCCTAGAACTTACCACTAGCCCACAGCTGGTTGCACGGATGCCCCTGTGCCAGGATGCTGGTGAGGCTCAGCCTGTCACCCTTCTGTCTCCTGGACAAGTGTAGGGAGAGCCACCCACTGGGAGCCATCCATCTGAAATCGGATGAGTGTCTCTGCCCCCACATCAACAGGTACCTCGATAGGACGTGATGGCTGCTCGCTGAAGGCCTAGCCCCATGTGATGAACCTTTCGTGCCCCACTTTATTGGACCCTCTCTCCAAGCTTGGGAGTCAGAACTACAGCCGGATCCATGACACAAGTGACAGACAGAGGCTCCCAGAAGTTAAGTGACTTGCTCCAACAGCTCAGAAGTGGCGGGGTGGGGAACTAGACTCAGGCTATGGGGCATTGTGTGTGAGGTCCTCAATCTCTCCCAGGTTCTCCCTGAAGGCTTCCGCTCCTTCCCCCTCTGACCTCCTAAAACCCTCTGTCTGAACCACCCCAATTAGCTCTCCTGACCCTATACTTACGCCTTGAGTGGTTAGGAGCACCATAGCAGCAGGCAAAACCCAGACCTTGGGTCCTGGACAGCCTTACCCTCTCTGATCCCCAGGTACCTGGGGAGGGGAGCCCACACCACCTCCCAGGGCCGGGGAGGGGCTTAAATGAGATCTGAGCATAGTGCCTGGTTCAAGGCAGTCACTCAATTAATGATACCTTCAGAATGCTGGCTGCAGACTTGTCTGTCTGTCTTCCTCATCTGCCTGCAGAATCCCTGAGTGAGAGCAGCAGGCCCTCCATCCATCCCCACCCTTGCTACCCAGCCTGGGGCCTGCAGCACGCAGCCCGGGCTTGATGGGCACGAAACAACTCGCCGCCCCGAGCAGAGACCCAGAGAAGGGAAGAGCTGTGCCCTGCCCCCCATCCCAGAGGAGGAGACGAGCTCTCCCCACAATTCCCAGCTCCCAGCCTTCCAGCTCTAATCAAGGAGCAAACACAAAGAGGGAATCTCTAAACATTTAGAAAACGCGGGAACTCTGTGCCCCCACGTGGCGCCGTGGGGATTTATAAAGAACAAATCACACCTGACAAACTTGATAGCTTTCTTGATAGAATTACGAGACCGGTAGATGAAGGAAATGCAGGCAGGGTAATATATCTTGATTTTTAGCAAAGCATTTGATACAGCGCCTCAAGTAATCTTACAAAATTAATTCAAACAGACTTGGCCCTAAGCACTTGTCATGGGGCCGAAAGCAAGAGGGGGTAGGTCCCAAGGGTCCTGAGTGGAGGAGGCGAGCCCAGGGGGAAGGGGCTGCAGGACAGAGTCTGGGAGAGGGGGCAGGGCTGCCCAGACCCGGCACTGGGTCAGATCTTATCTGACATCTTCATTAATGATCCTGAGAGAGGGAGTAAACAGTCCGTTAATGAAATTTGCAGAGGATATTAAATTGGAAGGTGTTGTGAACACCAATGAGGACAGCAAAGCGGTCCAGAGAGACCTGGCGGGGGAAGAACCTTGGCAGGAAACTGCTATTGGGGGGGGGGGGGGGTGGATGTGTGGGCTGGGCAGCACCTGGGGCCACCTGGAGAGCCAGGGAAGAGGGAAGGGCATCCCCACGGCTGGGGTGGAGCTGGGAGCAGCCGCAGCTAGCTGGGGTGCGGGTCACAGGAGCAAACCAGAATCTCCGTTTTCCCATCTGTAAAACAGAAGAAAGGGCTGGTAGATCCGGAGGGGTCTCGGAGAGCTGGTCGTGATGGGGCGTGAGGGAGGGAGCTCAGAGCTGAAGCCCACCTTACAGGAGGGGAGCAGGGGTTTTCTGCAGGCCAGGGAGAGGACGGTGGCAAGGCAGAGAAGGGCTGGTGAGGGAGACTGGCTGAGCCATCCCTAGTGCCCCCAATGTCCCTGAGCCAGGGCTCCGACACGGCGGGGCAGGTGCTTTGGGGTAAGGGGGCCCCCTCTCCCAGTTGGCTGGACAATAACACATCCGCTAGGGGTCCCAGCTAGAGCCCCGAGCTGCCCAGACTCGCAGGGTGTGCTGGGAACACTTCAGCAATAGAAGTTCCAACCTGGAGGGTGGAGTGGGGGAGGGCAGGGTCTGTTTTCTTTCTGGAGAGTTCCTGATCCCACTTTCATCAGGAAGGAAGGGCCCCACCAAGATCAGGAAAAGCTGCCCCATCCCAAACTCTTCTCTAAAGCCTGGACCTGTCCTGTCCCTCTCCCTCTGGCCCGATCCCAAGGAGGCTGAGGCAGAAAGCTGCCCATCCATCTGGACTTGGAGAATTTGTTCCCACAAGGCTCCTAGACAGGTGGGGTTTGAACAGGAGCCAGGCCTCCCTAGCACGGTGACGGGCCCTCCGCAACCTAAATAAATGCTTTGTGGGAGGAAGAAATGGATGGCTTGTTCCCAGCCAGGGCGGCTGGGGGAGGCTCTTCCAAAGCAAGAGGCCAGCCCTGCCTGATGTCAAGACCACCTGCCCAAGAGGATGGACCCAGGTGACCACACAGGCGGTGCTCCTTCCAACCCCGAGTTAATAATAATGACACTTACTGAACATTTGCTATGGCTGCATTATGAGTGCGTTCCCCATATCAACATATTTGACTTTCACAGCCCCCCAAGAGGTAGGTGCTCTTTCCTCCCCATTTCACAGAGGAGGAAAGTGAGGGATAGGGCGGCAGCGATGAGCCTGGACACCTAGCCAGGAGGCCCACGGAGAAGTAGCAGTCTGCCAAGAGCCGCAAGGAAAGCTGAGCAGCTCCCGATGGGGGGACCCCAGTGTGGGGAGCGGCAGCCCCTCCTGCAGGGACCCCAGAGCCTTGCCCAGCCTCTCCCTGCCCCCATCAAAGGGAGTTGGCCCAACTCCTGCCACACTTGTGGAGCCCGGTTTTACTATATGTTTCTCTTCTCCCCCACCACTGCTGCGCTACCCGAGTCCTCAGAACAAGTCTGTTTCCATGGAAACCATACAGTGACTCAGGGCTTCGGGACCTTCTCTGAACCAGATTATGAATATCAAATGCTCCCTCCCCGCACCAATGCAGAGTGAGTTAGAAAAGTAAAGAGAGAGCCACAATGGGCAAAGGGAAGGAGACAGGGGCGTGGGCAAGGGGAACCCAGAGGGGTACAAGCCTGCCCCCCCAGTGAGAACCAGCCTTCTGGGCCCCTCTGCAGACTCAGGGGAGCACAGATGTACACCTGTGTGTGTCTGCAGCCAGCAAACACGACCCCTACATCAGCACCATGAGCACCACCCTTCCTCGGGAACTAAGACCCTGTGGGTGGGGGGCAGGGAGGTAAGGGGGATCTGCATCCTTCCCACTTGGGGCCTGAACGTGGCAGAGGTAGCTGAGAGGCCAGGGAGGAGGAAAGCTGTCTGCAAGAGGAGCTTGACTTTCAATGCCGAGGAGGAAACCTCTGGCCAAAAGCACTGCAATATTTAGCAAAGAGGGAAATTCGGATTTTAGGGGGGAAATGTGTTTCTGCTTTGAGATGAGGAGGCTGTTAAGTGTATGTGCCAGGCGGGGGGTGTGACCAGGATTTCAAAGCCCCAGCAGGGTTGGGAGGATCATTAGCAGAGACTTCCTCCCCATTGCCCCCACCCTGGCCTGGCCTAGGGCAGCTCACCTGCCCCAGTGGAGATATAGCAGGGAAATGAAAGTTCACAGTGCCAGGCTCCTGGCCTCCCACAGGGGGCTAAGGCCCAAGGGCAGCAAATCCACCCCCTCCTTTCCCCAACTGCTCCCTGAAGACCCAGGAAGGAGGGGAAGAGAACAGGTTGGCAGCTTGATACCTCCCTGGTGAATCCAATGTGTGAGTCATGTTGGTGAGAACACTTGGAAAAAGAAACAGGGTCATGGTGATGCCTGTGAGTGTCCCCAGTTGCTGAGGACTGGAGCCTTGGAATCGCCTGCCCAGGTAAGGGCTCTAAGACAGCCAGCCCCATCGTAAGGGATCCAGAAAGCCCCAAAGATGGGTACCTGGTACCTTAGCCCCCACCAGCTTTCCCATTAATGCATACAGTTCCTTTGGCTTGCCAAAGCAGCTACTTTCGCAGCCAGGGGGCCTGCCTCCTGCCCCTAATCCTAGGTCCCCTCTGCTCCCTGCCCTACCAGCCCTCCAAAAGATGCAGGGCTCAAGGCTGTCCTTCTCAGGAGCCTCCTGCTTAGGAACAGTGTTTAAGTCCATCGGAAGGAAACCTGCACCTGAGGTGAGGAACCTAATCCTGGGAACCCGTAGGTCTGGGATGGGGGAGGGGGCACCCTGGGGCATGGCAAATCAGGCTAAGGTGCCACCCTAGGACGATCCTCAGGTCTTACCTTTTAACCCCTAGCATCCTGGCCAGGGCTACTTAAGGCTATTACTGTGAAAGCAAGCATTGGGTTCCTGGAGCTTGGGAGGAGCTGCTCCGGGGTGTAACCCAGAGAAGAGCAGAAGGGTGGTTCTGCCTTTGCGTAGGGGTCTCTGCACCATCCATCCGGCTCAACGCTGAGTGACTGGTGCGGGCTCGGAGCCGGGCCGGGGGCAGGAAGCCAGGGGCAGCCCCCTGCCTCCGGGCGCAGCCCTGGTTTGGAAAGTTGGCGCAGGCGTTGGGACCTCAGGGTCTCGAGGCGCCTCAGCAGCCCCGAGCCGGGCAGACTGTGGGACGGTGAGCCCCGGGCAGCCCCCGAGTGCGCTCCGCAGCCGCCGGGAGCGGGGCGCCTCGGGGCCGCCGCGCGTCTCAAGTTTGCTGCCCTCACCCAATGGGGGCGGGGAGGGCTGGGGTGGTCGCGGCGCTCACCCGCCATCGGCCCCGGGGAGCCCTTCCCGCGCCCAACGCGCTGCTGGCCTCCACCCCCGCCCCCCCCCCCCGGCCCGCACCGCCGGCTGCGACTGTCCGCGAGCGGAGGGGCGTCTCCCACCGCGCCCGCGCCCCTCCCGCTGCTGCGGCGAGGGTCCGCTCCCGCCCGCCCGGGGCCCGCCGGGCCCGGCCGATACCTGGTGGGGGGCGCACCGGGAGCCGCTGCAGCGCCCAGCGCCGGCTCCATCCTCGGGTCTGGAGTCAGGCTCGCCGGGGGCCGGCGGGTGGCGGCGGCGGCATCGGCGGCGGCATCCTCCGCCTTCCGCGCCCTCCTCCTCGGCCTCCCTCCTCCCTCCTCTTCCACCGCCTCCGCGCGCCCCTCACGGGCCCCTCTTCATGGCCCGGGGGCGCGAGCCCGGGGCGGCCCGGCCAGAGCACAGCTTTCTCCCGGGCAGGGCGCGGGACTGGGGACCGGGGTGCGAGGGCCCGAGGGGCGCCGGGCCAGGGGCCGGGACCCAGCGCGCCGCAGCCCCGGGCGCCGGAGGAGAGCAGCAGCCGCAGGCGCGGGAGCCTCTCGCCGAGCGCCCGCCCGCCCGCCTTGCGACCCGAGCGCGGAGCGGCGGCGGCGGCGGCGACGGCGGCGGCTATAGCGCCGAGCGAGCGGCGGGCGCTGCGGTCCGGGCTCCGCCCCCCCGAAGCCGCCCGCCCCTCGGCTGCCGCCCGCCCCCTGCTCTTCCCCACCCCTCCAGCGCGCGCCCTTCCGCTCCCCCGCGCAGCCCCGCGCAGCCCCGCGCAGCCCCGCGCAGCCCCGCGCAGCCCCGCGCAGCCCCGCGCAGCCCCGCGCAGCCCCAGCCTCCAGCGCTCCGGACGCCCCCTCCTCAGGCCGGCTCCCGAGCCAACCCCCACCCCCGCCCGGAGGGAGCCACACCCACACCCCGAGGTTCAGGGGGTCGGCTGGCGAGGGCGGGGGCCGCCCACTGACACCTCTTCCCATACCCTCCCAGCCCTCCCACCGAGGGCGCTCACCGACGGGCTTCGGCCTGAGTGCCCCCCAGGAAGTCCGGCTGGGGCCCCAACCTGGCCCCGGGCCCAGATGTCCTCTACCCCGTCCCCAGCCAGCACAACGGAGGGACTCCAGAACCCAGAACGGGAGCCATCCACCTTTCGGTGCCAACATCCCCAATACACACACCCCTAGCCCGTTACCCTCCACCTTTACCTCGCGGATGTGGAAATGAATCATCTGCCCTGCTCCAGTTATGCCTCTTGGGCGGGGTGTAGGGGTGGCTTGGTGGGGGCACCCCTAGGTGGATTTGCTGGGGACAGTCTCCAAGCCAGTCCCACCCCCTTCCCACCAGACTGCCGCGGGCACTCCTAGGTGGAAAGGTGCAGCCACTGCGGCCCTTCCGGAGGGGAGATCTGCCCTCACAGCCAGAGCCAGCAGGCTGAGCACCTCAGTCCTTCGTTCTTTGCACATATATTGACTGAGCATCTCCCGAAGGCCAGGCCTACATGGGCACCAGGGACTCATTGGTGACAAGACAAACGGACCCCTGGCCTCTCCGGAGTGGAAGGGAGAAGCAGGCCGAGTACCACGTGATCAGCGGCCCCTGGGCTGGAGAGCAGGGCAGAGAATCCCAGTTCTGCCCCCACGGAGGCCTCTTTCCTCATCTGCAGAGGGGTAGGTGGTTGTACCGCCGGACCCCGTGCTGCTCCTCAGCTCCGACCAAACAATTATCTTCTCAGGCCGGGAAAGGCAGTCAGCTTCCATCTGCACCCATATCTGAATCTCGGATTTCCAGCTGTAGCCTCTCCATCACTCCCGGACTCGCCCCAGAGCCACGGAGGGTTTGAAAACTCCAGGCAGCCTGGGAAAGCCTTGGCACCTGTTTCCTGGTCAGGATAATGGAGGTCTTGGTCCGGATGATGGAGATCCTGGTCCTCACTTCCTGGGGCCAGATGGTAAGATGCATGTAAGCACTCAGCACGGTGTGTGGCACGTGGCGAGTGCTTAATAGTTGCACCGTGTTGTTACTGTTACCGGCTGGTGGGTGTTCAGGGTAGCCGTCACTCACTCACCTACCCAGGGGATCATGGGGGCCCTGTACTTCTCTGGGGCACCCAGGACTCAGACCATCAAGAAACTCTCTCCACCTAGAACCAGATGGTAGGAAGGCCCCCGCCCCCAGGATCCCACCAGACCAAGGGTCATTTGCCTTGGTCACAATCGCAAATTCTTAATTGTAAATCCACCCCCCCCCCGGCCCACCCACCTCGAGTCTGGCAGCGGATCCCCATCAAGCCGGGGTGTGACCCAGTGTGATCCCCGATCACCTCTGGTGTGTTTCCTGCCCTGCCTCTGCCCCGCCTGCCCTCCACCCACCGCAGCCAGGAGGATGGCAGTTCTGGTCCTCCAACCCAATGTCAAGGTGACTAGATCCGTTTCCCAGCCAGCCCCCCACAGAGTGGCAGTGCTCTGGGATGGCTCACAAGAGTGCTGACCTTCCAGAAGCAAGGACTTCGGGTTTCAAAATTCCATTTGTCCTCCGTAGAAAACCAGCTTCTAACAGCGCCGAGCTGAGCCATCAGAACCTGCACTTTCGCCCAGAGCTAATCCCTCCCTGAGACTTTGGCCTGACAAGAATAGTCAGGGTTTAGAGAACACCTTCTCTATCTCACACTCTCAGATCCAGCGCCTCATTTTTCAAATTCTGGTGTATTTCGGGTGGAAAGGAGGGAAATGTACATCTGGCTGACATGAAAAGATTGGTGTGGTTGTAATGTAAAGACAGAGTAGAATTTGGAATTTTTTTTTTAAAGAATATTTAAACTCTAAAAATAGACATAGGTCCTGGTCTCAGGAACACCAAGATTCTGATTCCAGTTTCCTGAAATCTCCCAATTAATAACAAGCATGCGTGTTTCATGTGCACCTACTGTGCACACTGTGCTGTGGCAAGTGACACGCTGGGGGGGCAGGGGGGGGAGAAGAGGCAGAAAACCAAAGCAGAGACCTTTGCTTGGGGAATTGGGATCCCAGACAGTGAAGTGGGAAAGAACCTTTGTGGCCAATGTGATCAAGTGCACAACAGGTAGCCTTGGAAGTCAGAGGAAGATGGAGCCTTGGGGAATTGTTCAGGGAGGGCTTCCTGGAGGAGGCAGCAGTTAAACTGAGGCTTGAGGGATGGATAGGGTATAAAAAGGCAAAAGAGCAGGAGAGCCTGTGAGAAGCAGCAGTAGCCAGACTGGGCTTATTTGTGTGATAATAGAAAGGTTAAATATTAGTGGCTAATGTTTGAGGTCTTACCTCCTGCCAGGCGCACTATGCTGTTTGCTTTGTGTGGATTATTTTGTTTAACCTTCAAAACAACCCTAGGAAGGAGGGGTTCCCATTCCCACTTTACAGATGAGGAAACTGAGGGCCAAAGAGTTTAAGCAGCTTGCCCAGGTTTGCAGAGCTGCTGAGCAATGGAGCCAACCCCGGAGCGAGCCGTCTGGCCGCGCACGCTCACCCCTCTGCCAGGCCACAGTCAGCCAGCCCAGCTAGTGGGGGTGCCTGCAGGGAAGAGCAGGAGGAGAGGGCCTTCAGAAGCCCCCAGGTTCCCAGAGGGGTTTTCCTGAAATAAAGCCCCCAGGCCCTCCTGGAGAATTCTAATATGAAGCATGCTCTTTCCTCTCCTCAGCATGCAGGCCCCTGGGTGTCTGGAAATTGGTTAAGGGATTTGGGGGCTCAAGATTTCAGTTTTTTAATATCTCTTGCCGGTCCATCTGGGGGCATTCTGTGCCACCCACCTTGTGATTTCAGTCTGTTCTGGGAGATTGATGGCCCAGGCTTTGATTTAAGATGTGCCGCCGTGGTCCTCAATTTCCCCTGTCTCACCGGTGACGCTGACAAGGCAGCGAACCCTGGGAGGATGGCTCCTGGCTCTTCCCAGACTGCAGGCTTGAGAGCCCACAGCTCCTGTACAGAGAGCTCTGACCAGAAAATCTGGGTAGAGGCGGGCAGGCCCAGTGGACCTGTCCTCTGGAGCCTCAGTTTCCCCACAGATGAAATGGAGGGCCTGCTGCTGAGGAGGCCCATTCGGGAGAGAGTGGAGGAGCCCTCGGAGGCAAGCTTACCCAACTCCCTCATTTCACAGATGAGCAAACTGAGACCCAGAGAAGTTAAGTGACTTACCTTAACTTCCTATGGCCACACAGGAAGTGAGTTGAGCCTTCAGTTGGGTCTCCTACTTTTCGAAGAATACATCTCTTATATACCTCTTATCCCCTACTTCTACCCTGCTCTGGATGAATTCCTCTCCTGGATAAATCAAGGGACCTGAGCTTTTTGGGGGTTGAAATAAAACAAATATTTGAGGGTCTTACCGCAGGCCAGGCACTGGACTGGTCCCTCAGATATATGGGATCCCAGTTTTTCCTCATCTTAACACAGGGGTCCGAGGTCCCCAGGGCCAGGAAGCACAACTGTGTAGGCCCCAGAACCTCTCGACAAAGAGACTGTCCTGCTGGTGACTGCACTGTCTAACCACTGGCCTCGAAGGCGGGCCAAGGGGCCAGAGAGGAGGACACCGTTCCCTCCTTACTCCTTCTCTCCCACCAGACAGTCCCTCTCATTCTCCAGTTACAGAACAAAATGCCCCCAGTAAATTAGAGGATGTCAACAAATCTTGGTGGAGGGGAGGAAACAGGGAAACTAAGTGATTTCCTTCTGGTAAGTAGCCAAGCCACAAAATACCTGCTGCCCAGACCACCCTGGCCAGCCCAGGGCTCTTGCCTTTCTGGGCCTGGTGGTTGGGAAGCAGGAGTGGTCCGTGTTGGTCCTCAGCCAATCCCCCAGGCTCCGTCATCCTTCCTCTGGCATCACATGGTCCAGCCCTGGTCTTGCCAAGGCCAGTCTCATCCAAGTCCCCCAAAGTTTCCGGGGAGGAAGGTGAAGTCAGAGAAGGCCAGATGTCCACTTCCTGCTGAGGGAGGAGCCTGCTCCAGCTGCCTTCTGAAGAAGAGGTCCCGCATAGATGTTGACCTTCCCTAAGCCACTCTGCTGGCCATTGCCACACTCACCCCTGGAGGCCCAGGCTGAGGAGAATCAGGTGGCGCTATTAGAATCCAACGCTTGCCCCAGT